CGTGTGGCTTTCAAATATGCAAATTCAGTGTAAATTTGCTTATCTTCTTCCGATTCCATTTTCAAAAGAGTTTTTTTTTTAAAGCAGTTTAGACACAGTTCTTTCAAAAGAACCCGGTACACCTCTTTTTTTTAGGAAGGTTTTTTTTTTTTCAAAAGAACTGCATCTAGACTGTTTTTTTTTCCAAAAAAACTCTTTTGAAAATGGGATCAGAAGAAGATATGCAAATTCGTGCCAAATTTGCATATCTTCTTTCGAAAGCCGCAGGCAGTCTAGACGTGCCCATAGTGTAGACATGGCCTCAGACCCAGTTGAGTATACTCATCTTGCTCTTCTGCCTCCCCCTATTACATTTATCAAGGATTCATTAATCTGGTGGTTTCTACCTCTCAAGAGCTCAAGAAGCACCATTCATTCAACTGTTTCTAGCCTTTATGATAGGGGCAGGTATAGCCTTTGAAAGAAAAAAAAAGAGCTCAGTCTATGTATCCACTCCTTGGAACTTTAGGCTATGAGACTGGCCCTCAAAACTTTCCCGCTATTGGTTGGCGGAACAATGGCAGAATTGTCACATACAACATAGCTACCAAGTCAGCATCTCATATTCTCTGCTTCTTCCCTCTCATGTGAGCGGGGTGTGTTGATAGATTAGTTTGGTCTAATTTCAGTTGCTGGATTTAGCGTATAGGTGCTGGGTGGTGAGGACAGACTATAATATACAGGAGGTTAGACTAGATGATCTAGTGGTTTCTTCTGACCTAAATGCTATAATTCTAAGAGATTCACTTCCTTTCACACTAGTTTCCAGTTAAAAAAAATTCCTTGGACAACAACTTGAACTTTATGTTCTCTCTTTTCTTATTTAAAGTAGACCTATTATTTTCCTGAAGCAATGTCCAGTGTCCACATTTATTTTGAGAGTGGGTCAGGAAAATATATTATTATGAGATGGGGGCAATTTCCCCATGTCCCTTTAGTTTAGAAATAGAATAGAGCAGCGTTCACACAATGTGACATTGTCAGAGGTTCTTTGTCTTTGCCAATATCTCATTGATCTTCTCTGAAAAAAACAGCTTGCATCAATGTGTTGGGTAATATGGCTCATGTCCATAATGTCTGAAGGTTTTGAGTGTTTGTAGTTTTGAGTTTTGTTCTACTGTTACTGGAGAATATTTTCCATATTACAGATTCTAAGTACAGGAGGCCATTTGGAAACCTATTTTACCCCCCTGCTTTCATTCAGCATTTAAACACTTCTCAAGTATTTAAAAAAATAACTTTCTTTTTCATTTTCACAATTGTCGGCTTGAGTAAAAGGGTACGGAATGGGATCAATAACACAGACAGTTTCCTTACAAAATCAAACAGATGGATACTAAAAATATAATCTTGGGCTTTGTCAGCAGCTTTTGAGCACTGGCGTCTCAGAGGCTATGTCTACATTACGAGGTTATTTCAAAATAAGTTACTTCGAAATAATAACTCCCAAAATAACAATTTTGAAATAAGCTTATTCCTTTTCACAAGCAGGAGTTATTTCGAAATAGCAAACCCATTATTGAAAAATAACAGGCTTGGTAGTGTGGATGCTTACCTTGTTATTTCAAAATTACTCCCCAGTGTAGACATGCCCAGATATAGTTCTTCTCCATGTGGAGCCACAGTCTCTCAGAAACATCAAAGGTGAGCTTGTAAGACTATGAAACTGGGAGGAGAATGTGATGTCCATCTACTGTATAAGTTACTTGAAGGCTATTGTAAATCCACAGACAGGCATTTAACTTTGGGAGGAGCTGTTCAAAGGGAAAGCACCTCAGAAATGAATAAGATTGATGAGATCAAAGTAAGTGCTAGATCCCAGAGTGAAGAGAAGAAAAAATGTCTCTCTCCTGGACCAAACACAGCAGGGGAGATGACTTGCATCCAAAAGATTTTTTATGTATATGAAATAACTCTTCTGTGCTGAGACAGTTGGAAGCCTTAACTTTTCACACAGGGATGAAAAGTCCTGAAGGACACTGTTCAAATGAGTAACAGCAACTCTGTGCAGAAAGTTGGCACAAATCCCTGTCAAAGATAACTTCAAAGAAGTAAGGAACAGCTGGAGAAATCCTGATGAAGAAAGGCATATATACACAGAATCAAAGGGTTACGCTGAATATCCCACTGAAAGGACTTTTGAGGTTTTGAAACAGTCAAATCCTCAAACCTCAGGATGTTGCATGCTTTGCCAATATCTCTGAGAAGACCTGATTGGCATTATAACTCAGCTTCTGTGAGAGTTCAAGTCATTGTGCATTTTGCAAGTTAGGCTCTCTTTTAGACACTGGCCACAACTTATTTTAAAAGAACACTCAGTAGCTGATAGTCAACTGTGTGTTCTTGGGCTGTCACTACTAAATGCCAAAAAGACTAATAAAAGTGAAGTCATATGCATTCAGGGGTAAGGCCACAGCTCATATGGCCAATGAGATGGGAGATGGAAGGCAGAGGGGAATATCAGTATTAATGTACTGATATGCTCTCAGTCTCATTTGCTGAAAGTGTTTTGATTGTATGGCACATTCAATTAATGCCAGGGACTTTTTTTTTCTGTCCACAGACAGGTCTTTGTCAGTGCCACCCAAATCACTAGGGCGTGGGTGTGGATGGAGTGGGAAATGGTCAAAGTGCAGAGATGCACATTTTTTAGACTCACAACTATATTATGAATTACAAAACATAGTTTCCACCCATGCTCTGATTTACACTCAATCTCCTGCTAGTTTGGTTTAGGAGGCACAGTCAATGGTGAAAAAATGATCACAAACAACAGGTTTCTGTACAATCACAGAGAACATACAGGAGAATGGCATGGGGCAGAATACGTTTCTTAACATATGGAGACCTGATACGAACTCTGCTTCAGATCAAACTGGGGCCATGCAGCCTCCCCTCTGTTCAACTCCAAATGCGAAAAGGCTTCAAGCTGTTTTTAAAGTGGGTTTAAAGCCTGAGGATATCTGCAAGAACTTCAGCAAGGCATGCATTAGTAGACACCATTATAGAGCTATTTATTGCTGTTGTGAATTACTTAAAAAGGGAACACCTAGTTTTGTCATCAATATTAGGTAAGAATTATATAAATATGAACAAGGCATTGTAGATAGTCCTGCATATAAATATTTCTACCAGTGAAACTGAATGCAGGACTGACTGCACTTCATTTGTAACAGAGGATTTATATCCTTATAAATGACAACAGACAGCAAAGTTATGAAGAATGATAACAACAGCTGTCATATCAAGGAACATTTGAGTCGATTGCAAGGTTAAACAAAAAGAGTGGCAAGTCAGAAATTCGGGTCTTAGCATAGCGAAAGTCAAGGTTCTGTGATAGCTTGAACTGTCCACTTAAACAAAATGGTGCACTAAAAGAGAATGGGAGCCAATGTGTGAAAGAGATTTTAGATTCTTGGTAAAAAAAAAACAATTCTTGGTAGAGATCTGGGATACATAATATTACTCCCATCTGTTAAAAGAAGGCTTTAAGAAATGCATATTCAGCTCTGCTATAAACAGTTTCTAAAAGACTGGAGGCTCTCTACTACTTTCTATATTGCAAGACTTGAGAATCTCTGAGCTATCACTTGTTTCCTTGTTCTTTAACTATCTTGGTAAACTGGTGCTGCACTTGGTAGCATGTTTTAAAAATTTCACTACAAATCACAATACATTCATTCATATTATAACATATTTTTCTATAAATAATTAGCAAAGTATTACATCTATTTCTCCAATTATAAACTAATACACTGTAAATGTGTAAGTTTTTTCAAATAATTGAATTGTTTTTATGACTTAATGAAGCAGAGATCATGAGACTGTCTATTAATCAAAGTTCAGTCCTGCAATCTTGGAAATAAATGGAAACCTTAAGGGCCTGACTTTCAGTTATGCTAAGGATTCTTTATACTGATCCAATTGTGTCAACACACCTTACTGTAGGTGTGAAAGTAATTACAAATCATTTTGTTATAGATGTAATTTGCATCCAATTCATGGCACCTGTATACTGCCAAGGAGGTGTAAAGGATACTTAGGCCTGGTCTACACTACAGAGGAAGGTCGAATTAAGATATGCAATTCCAGCTATGTTAATTACGTATCTTAAATCAAGTCGACGTATCTTAAATCAAGTTTCCGCGCCATCCACACAGCAGGAGGTTGACAGAAGCAAATGTTTCTGTTGCCTTCCCTTACTCTCTGAGTTCGATCTAGCAGGTCTTCACTACATCCATTAAATGGAACTCCAGAGCTGTGTCTACATTGGCAAAATGATGCGCAAAAACACCTGCTTTTGCGCAAAATCTTACCGCCTGTCTACACTGGCCGCAAGTATTTGCACAAGAACACTGACTTTGTAATGTACAAAATCAGTGGTTCTTGCGCAAATACTCTGACGTTCCTGCTCAGGGATAAGCCCTCTTGCACAAGTATTCTTGCGCAGGAGGGCCAGTGTAGACAGCAATGTTAATTTCTTGAGCAAGAAAGCCCGATGGCTAAAATGGCCATCGGAGGTTTCTTGCACAAGAGAGCGTCTACACTGGCACGGATGCTTTTGCGCAAAAGCAAATCTTTTGCACAAAGGCACATGCCAGTATAGACGCTTTCTTGCGCAAATATTTTTAACTGAAAAACTTTTCCATTAAAAGTATTTGCGCAAAATCATGCCAGTCTAGACGCAGCCCCAGAAGATTTACCATGGCAGCATCGATCTTCCACATAACGTAGACATGGCATTAGTATAAACGAGAATAAAGATTTATGACTCCCTTTCCCCCTTGTTAAATGTCGGTTTCACTTGAATCATTCCAGTAAAATCCACTGTTGCTAAAGCATCTGTTTTCCTTCATAAATGTAAACATATTTGCACTACTTGTTCACTTTGCCTAAAAATTAATGATGGCAAAATAGTGCCCGCAAAAGATTTGCAGTTTAGACTGTAAAGCGGAGCTCACCTCCCTGTAACGTGTACTCGGTCACTGCTCTGCTGAATTCTCCCAACCCAGCGCCATTATAAGATGCCACCTGGATTTCATACTGAGTCCAGATGATCAGGTCTTTAACCAAACAGTAGTTAATCTCTGCGCTGGTGATGTTCTTGTAGTGGTATTCCCCAGGGAGGCCTGCAAGGCGATACCTGCATACAAAAAAGGAAAACTCAATGCAGTCAGTTAAAAGTTAAATGCACTCACTAGCAAAACAGCTTTGTCTCTGAAGATGTGCTATTCAAACTTTTACTGCAGAATTATACAAAGGATAATTGAACATCCTCAGACTAACTCCTGATAAGACCACACCCTGCCTGAATGCTACAGTGTTTATAATCTGATTTCACAGAGATTACATGCCCTGGACTAAACAAAACTGGCATTTTATCCTGTTTTATGGCTGAAGAAAAATTATAGCTTTTTAAATGTGGCTTGTCTAGTAAAAGCTGTGATTAAGTATAAAAAGATCTTCGGGTAAATCGGTTTGAGAAATGTTTTCTTACTCAGCCTGTAAACATGAACAAAGCAACAGCTCAGTAGTGGCGTTCAGAATTTCTGGTTTAAGGGACTGCCAGCTCAAGCCTGCATGAGGAATCCTCTTTCACAGAATGATTCTAACAAGGCTTGAAAGAGAGACAGCCTAGGGACTGAAGAGCTTGCTAAAGACTGGGAATCGAAAGAGTGGCAATATGGAGATCAAATATTTTGCCAAATACGGATTAGTAATCTCTCTCTCTATATATATATAGAGCAAGAAACCTCTGTCAAAAAGGTGGGATGTGGAGCAGCGGAGCAAGTAAATATGTTTCCCTGTAAAAGTTATATTATGGGAAATAGAACGGATTTGGGTATATATTTTAGAGCCCATTTTTGGGCATGTCCTTTTGCACTCTGAGAATCCACTGAGAGGAAATAATAATTATAGAAAACAAGGAATCCTTGGAAATTTGAGCATTTCAAATGAGTCTGTTTGCTTTTTTCCCTTTAGGAAACAAGCTGTGTAGTAGCTACTTACATGCTAATAACGTATCAGAAATAAATAGACCAAAAGGCATGACGACTTGCAAATTAAGCATTACTATTCTGTGAAAAGGCAAATATGGAAACATTTGGATTTTTATTCATTATACTGTTTTAATTCAACCCCTGCTTAATAACCACTAAAGGCTTGTCTATACGAGAAAGTTTCATTGGTTAATTTATGGTGCGATTTTAAACCAATGTAAGTTTAATCAGGGCAATCCCTGTGTTTAACAAGGTCTAATTCTTATAGAGATTTTACTCTTCCTAGAGAAATCTCAGTGCAGCTCTTGATCACCCATAGCAGTGATACAGACAACCTACAAAAGTGGGGAGAAGAGTGTAGTTTCCTGACCATAGTTCGTCACGTTTTGAATTGGGAGACTACATCGGCAGAGCTCCTTGGGCTTGTCTACACTATGGAGAAGACCGACCCTTCAGAAGTGGATTTTCTAGTGTTCGATTTAGTGGTCTAGAGTAGACCCCCATATTGAATGCAGAAGGTAGCCCGCACCGGCCTTGTCTACTCAGTCTCTGTATGTCTACACTACAGCGTTATTTTGAAATAAGTTATTTCGAAATAACGTGTCTACACACAAAATACATTTCGAAATAGCTTTTTGCTATTTCGAAATAGCGTGTATTTGGAAATAGCGTGTCCACGCGGAGTGGATGCTGAATCGCATTTAAGGCTGGCTGGAACCAGTGTGGCTGCTGCCTGAAGCTATCTGAGGTCTGTGTTTAAAGGGACCCCACCAGACAGCCGGTTCTCAGCTTTTCCTGCTTGCTTGCCTACCTTGATGAGGGACAGCAAAGCATTTTGTCGCTGTGTGCTCTGGTTGCCCTCACTCGGGACACCACAGCACTCTGCAACATGGAGCCAGAGCTGGGCCTGGACACTCTGGTACATCTCGTGGACACGTTGCTGTGAGCCTGGCTACACTTTCTACAGGCTGCCATCCGGGAGGTCCATCGGGGGGGCTGTTAGTATCCAGGAGGCCCTGCAGGAAAGCTTCCACCCTGAGGAGCACTAAGAGCCCTGGTATGCTCCACTGGGGGTTTGTGCCTCATTCCTCCCTCACATCCTTCCACCTACCTCTCCCTAACCCCCCTTCCTGTTATCAAATAAAATACACGTATTTTCATGAACACAAACTCTCTTTAGTTAACAAAACTGGGTGGGGGGTGAGGAATGAAACTCTGGTGAGACTGGGGAAAGGAGGCGGGAGAGGGGAGAAGAGAGGGGGAGGAGGGAACTGGAAGGGGGAAGCAAGGGGAAGAAGAGGGAGGGGAAGCTCAGGGCTCAGGGTTGGGAGTCTCACCGGACCAACTTGATTTTCATGCAAACCTGTTCCTGGGTTTGCATGTGGCCTTTGGTGGTGAAGCTGGCAGATATTCTACCATAGACGGCCACATTCCTCCATCTAGTGCAGAGATCATGAACACTGGGGGCATCCCCCCAAACCTGAATAAGGTCCATGATCTCTACCCTGGACCAGGAAGATGCCTGCCTTCTCCAGGCCCTGGCATGTTTCTGGGAGCTGGCAGACTGCTCCTGGGGAGAGATGGAGGGCTGGATGGCACTGGCTGCCTGGCTCATGTTTTGGGGCCACTGGATCAGGGGCAGTGACTGCTGGCTCTGGGCTGGCAGGCTTGGAGCTGGCACAGGCTGTGGCCAGAGTCAACCCCTTTAAGGGCTCCGGAGAGGGGGAGGGGGAAGGAAGAGGAGGGAGAGGAGTGTTTTTGGTTGAGGCTGGAGTGGCCACCAGGGCAGCTTGGGAGGCTGGAGGCTCCCTATTTTGATATAAGTGCCTACACAGCACTTATTTCTGTGGCCAGAGTCAACCCCTTTAAGGGCTCCGGAGAGGGGGAGGGGGAAGGAAGAGGAGGGAGAGGAGTGTTTTTGGTTGAGGCTGGAGTGGCCACCAGGGCAGCTTGGGAGGCTGGAGGCTCCCTATTTTGATATAAGTGCCTACACAGCACTTATTTCGAAATAGCTATTTCGAATTTGGTATTATTCCTCATGGAATGAAGTTTAACAAATTCGAAATAAGCGCTCTGCTATTTTGATTTAATTTCAAAATAGTGGTTTGGCTGTGTAGACGCTAATAAAGTTATTTCGAAATAACGGCTGTTATTTCGAAATAACTTTGCTGTGTAGATACACTCTGTGAGGAGCATAGGAAGCTGAAGGGAGCGTGTGCTCCCATCAGCCTCCCACAGTGTAGATGCCACAGTTGCTTGGCTTAAGGAAAGCTGAATCCAGCTACACATTTTATATAGCTGGATGGCATTCTTTAAAACTGACCTGCCTGGTCTAGTGTAGCCAGGTCTCTGCCTCCTTTCAATGCAAGGCCTCGCATGCCTCCACTTATGGGGTGATAAGAAGGCTGTATGAACATTGGCTATGTTAATTCTGTGCTCAGCACTCAATTTTGTCTCACATGTAGCAGTCTAAACGTGGAGTGCTCCTCTGATCTAATTTATTGTGCTCTTAGCATGACATCCCTAGGAAAACAACACTCAGCTGGTGAGAAAAAGAGCAGAGGAAAAAGGCCAGTTTAGAAATGTCATGTCCTAGCGAGTTTTCTCGCCCTATATAAACTTTGATCTATATTGCATAGGATTTGTGCAATGCCCTTTCACTTTTAAGACCAGGCATTCTGTCAGTTTAAGTCCAATACACCATTTATGGCGGGATTCTGTCTTAGAAAGATAGAGCAATGGGCCTGATGTGATAGTGGGTCTTACCCATTTTTAATGTCAAAAGGTACCCTTAATCCAGAGCAACTGTAATCTAACTCATCTGAAACTAGCTCAGAAAATCCCTTGGATATCAAATACCTTCCTGTCACACATATTTTGAATCCCAGGAACATCCTGGGAATATTTCAGGGGAAAGATTTATTATTATACGATAGACTTAAATCCCTGTTGAAGAAATGATTTGTTTCCCTATTCAGGAGCCCAGACAAAATAATTTAAACCTTTAAAGAACATTTTTCACAACTCATGCAGATTGACAACAGTGGACCTGATAACTCTCTCTACTAATATGAAAAGGAATGTTAGAGAGAGGACCACTTACGCTAATTTTGCATGAGCTGCAGAAGGAAACCGCTAACCTAAAAATTAGTCAGCATGTTATATGAAACATTTAGACAGTGGAAGAAGCTGTGAAGGGTAGCTGAAGCAAAATGCAGGACAATGTAGCACTTTAAAGACTAACAAGATGGTTTATTAGATGATGAGCTTTCGTGGGCCAGACCCACTTCCTCATATCAAATAGTGGAAGAAAATAGTCACAACCATATATACCAAAGGATACAATTAAAAAAAATGAACACATATGAAAAGGACAAATCACATTTCAGAACAGGAGGGAGATGCGGGGGGGGGAGGGGGAAGGAAGGAAGGAAGGTAAGTGTCTGTGAATTGATGATATTAGAGGTGAGGAGAGTGGGATGTCTGTGAGCTAATGGTATTAGAGGTGATAATTGGGGAAGCTAGCTTGATAATGGGTAAGATAGTATCAAAGACATCCCACTCTCCCCACCTCTAATATCATCAATTCACAGACACTTACCTTCCTTCCTTCCTTCCCCCCCCCCCCCCCCGCATCTCCCTCCTGTTCTGAAATGTGATTTGTCCTTCCCGCTAGTTCGAACTAGCGGGGTAATGTAGGCATACCGCAATTTGAATTTCCCGGGCTTCATTTGCATAAGCCGGGCGCCGCCATTTTTAAATCCCGGCTGGTTCGAACCCCGTGCCGCGTAGTTCGAACTAGGCTTCCTAGTTCGAACTACCGTTACTCCTCATGGAATGAGGAGGGTAGTGTAGACATACCCTGAGAGAGTGTCCTTTCTGGTTAAAATGGCAAGAAACTGTTTTTTCTTTGTGATCTTGTCTGATATCTGTTTTCTGGGCATTAATCCTTTGGCGAAGTGTCTGAGATGTTTGTCCAATGTACATAGCAGACGGACACTTTCGGCACATGAAGGGTAGGGAGGGCTGTGGATTTGCTATCTCCAGAGGTATTTAAAAGGCAGACTGAGTAGCAATCTATTAGGAAAAACAAAATCAATCCTATGACAAAGCAAAGGAATGAACTGGCTGAACCATTAGCATCCCCTCTTTGAACCGTACAGTATATCAGCACCCAAAGAAAATATAACAGATTTTCGGATTCAATAGGGCTGCTTTCCAACCAGAATTCCCAGTGAAGATATCTTTCTTTGTTGGGGGAAATCTCCTAAAATAAGGTCTCTCAACAGCTCGGGAGGAAGGGGCATATTAGGGGAAGAAAGAGGCATGGTAAAGGTGAATTCCACTAAACCTGACACTATTGTGCCATAAGAGTCCTTAGAAGTGTAAGTAAAGAGCCCCAGGGCTACCCCTCCCTGTTACATTTCTG